GTGTGTATGTTGTAGTGGTGTGTCTGAGGCTACGATCCTCTTTGTATGTTGTAGTGGTGTCTCTGAGGCTACGATCTCACTTGTAAGTTGTAGTGGTGTCTCTGAGGTTACGATCCCGGTTGTATGTTGTAGTGGTGTCTCTGAGGCTACGATCCCGCATGTATGTTGTAGTGGTGTCTCTGAGGCTACGATCTCACTTGTATGTTGTAGTGGTGTGTCTGTGGTTACGATCTCACTTGTATGTTGTAGTGATGTCTCTGAGGCTACGATCCCGCATGTATGTTGTAGTGGTGTCTCTGAGGCTACGATCTCACTTGTATGTTGTAGTGGTGTGTCTGTGGTTACGATCTCACTTGTATGTTGTAGTGATGTCTCTGAGGCTACGATCTCACTTGTATGTTGCAGTGGTGTCTCTGAGGCTACGATCTCACTTGTATGTTGTAGTGGTGTGTCTGTGGTTACGATCTCACTTGTATGTTGTAGTGATGTCTCTGAGGCTACGATCTCGTTTGTATGTTGTAGTGGTGTCTCTGAGGTTACAATCTCGCATGTATGTTGTAGTGACGTCTCTGAGGCTACGATCTCGTTTGTATGTTGTAGTGATGTCTCTGAGTCTACGATCTCGCATGTATGTTGTAGTGATGTCTCTGAGGTTAGGATCTCGCATGTATGTTGTAGTGATGTCTCTAAGGTTACGATCTCACTTGTATGTTGTAGTGATGTCTCTGAAGTTACGATCTCGCATGAATGTTGTAGTGGTGTCTCTGAGGTTACGATCTCGCTTGTATGTTGTAGTGGTGTCTCTGAGGCTACGATCTCGTTTGTATGTTGTAGTGGTGTCTCTGAGGTTACGATCTCGCATGTATGTTGTAGTGGTGTCTCTGAGGTTACGATCTCGTTTGTATGTTGTAGTGGTGTCTCTGAGGTTACGATCTCGTTTGTATGTTGTAGTGGTGTCTCTGAGGTTACGATCTCGTTTGTATGTTGTAGTGGTGTCTCTGAGGTTACGATCTCGTTTGTATGTTGTAGTGATGTCTCTGTGGTTACGATCTCACTTGTATGTTGTAGTGATGTCTCTGAGGCTACGATCTCGTTTGTATGTTGTAGTGGTGTCTCTGAGGTTACAATCTCGCATGTATGTTGTAGTGACGTCTCTGAGGCTACGATCTCGTTTGTATGTTGTAGTGATGTCTCTGAGTCTACGATCTCGCATGTATGTTGTAGTGATGTCTCTGAGGTTAGGATCTCGCATGTATGTTGTAGTGATGTCTCTAAGGTTACGATCTCACTTGTATGTTGTAGTGATGTCTCTGAAGTTACGATCTCGCATGAATGTTGTAGTGGTGTCTCTGAGGTTACGATCTCGCTTGTATGTTGTAGTGGTGTCTCTGAGGCTACGATCTCGTTTGTATGTTGTAGTGGTGTCTCTGAGGTTACGATCTCGCATGTATGTTGTAGTGGTGTCTCTGAGGTTACGATCTCGTTTGTATGTTGTAGTGGTGTCTCTGAGGTTACGATCTCGTTTGTATGTTGTAGTGGTGTCTCTGAGGTTACGATCTCGTTTGTATGTTGTAGTGATGTCTCTGAGGCTACGATCTCGTTTGTATGTTGTAGTGATGTCTCTGAGGTTACGATCTCGTTTGTATGTTGTAGTGATGTCTCTGAGGCTACGATCTCGTTTGTATGTTGTAGTGGTGTCTCTGAGGCTACGATCTCACTTGTATGTTGTAGTGGTGTGTCTGTGGTTACGATCCCGGTTGTATGTTGTAGTGGTGTCTCTGAGGTTACGATCCCACTTGTAAGTTTTAGTGGTGTCTCTTAGGCTACGATCCCGCTTGTATGTTGTAGGTGTCTCTGAGTACACGGCGTTAGTGTTTGGCTCAGGTCTGATGTTAACTGGACAGCGGAAGAGAATATCCTTATTTGCAATGTTATGAGGATGATATTCTGTTGTTGAGGCCTGGCAGCGGCAGTATCTGCTGGACTAGTCAGACCACGTGCACGAACTACAAGTCCCATTCTGAACCAAAGAAATGGAAAATAATCATCACATTCAACATCTGTTTACTTTCCTGAATACAAAACTAGCGTGGTTCACCGATAATAAACATTAAAAATCAACAACTTGTTGGAACAGACCATATGCTAATCACTCCAACTGAACTGAGAGATGGTACTGGGAGCTCTATAGCACAATGTTCTCATGAAAATGAAGCTATGGTACAATGTTCTCATGAAGATGAAGCTATGGTACAATGTTCTCATGAAGATTAGGCTATTGTACAATGTTCTCATGAAGATGAAGCTATGGTACAATGTTCTCATGAAGATGAAGCTATGGTACAATGTTCTCATGAAGATGAAGCTATGGTACAATGTTTTTATGAAGATGAAGCTATGGTACAATGTTTTTATGAAGATGAAGCTATGGTACAATGTTCTCATGAAGATGAAGCTATGGTACAATGTTTTTATGAAGATGAAGCTATGGTACAATGTTCTCATGAAGATGAAGCTATGGTACAATGTTCTCATGAAGATGAAGCTATTGGTACAATGTTCTCATGAAGATGAAGCTATGGTACAATGTTCTCATGAAGATGAAGCTATGGTACAATGTTCTCATGAAGATGAAGCTATGGTACAATGTTCTCATGAAGATGAAGCTATGGTACAATGTTCTCATGAAGATGAAGCTATGGTACAATGTTCTCATGAAGATGAAGCTATGGTACAATGTTTTTATGAAGATGAAGCTATGGTACAATGTTCTCATGAAGATGAAGCTATGGTACAATGTTCTCAATGTTCTCATGAAGATGAAGCTATGGTACAATGTTTTTATGAAGATGAAGCTATGGTACAATGTTCTCATGAAGATGAAGCTATGGTACAGTGTACTCATGAAGATGAAGCTATGGTACAATGTTCTCATGAAGATGAAGCTATGGTACAATGTTCTCATGAAGATGAAGCTATGGTACAATGTACTCATGAAGATGAAGCTATGGTACAATGTTCTCATGAAGATGAAGCTATGGTACAATGTTTTTATGAAGATGAAGCTGTGGTACAATGTTTTTATGAAGATGAAGCTATGGTACAATGTTTTTATGAAGATGAAGCTATGGTACAATGTTCTCATGAAGATGAAGCTATGGTACAGTGTACTCATGAAGATGAAGCTATGGTACAATGTTCTCATGAAGATGAAGCTATGGTACAATGTTCTCATGAAGATGAAGCTATGGTACAATGTTCTCATGAAGATTAGGCTATTGTACAATGTTCTCATGAAGATGAAGCTTTGGTACAATGTTCTCATGAAGATGAAGCTATGGTACAATGTTCTCAAGAAGATGAAGCTATGGTACAATGTTCTCATGAAGATGAAGCTATGGTACAATGTTCTCAAGAAGATGAAGCTATGGTACAATGTTCTCATGAAGATGAAGCTATGGTACAATATTCTCATGAAGATGAAGCTATGGTACAATGTTCTCATGAAGATGAAGCTATGGTACAATGTTCTCATGAAGATGAAGCTATGGTACAATGCAAAAAGCTGTCAACACCAGCCTCACTCAGATCGACGCAATTATTTCTGAAAGCCCAAACGGCCTGAAGATCAGCACATCGGAATTGAAAGCTGACGATCAGTCTTCTCGAGGAGTTAGAAACCAAAAAGCCGTCCGTACCAAAGATGTAGGTAAAACCCAGGACTGTTTGTCTGTTAGTACGCAGTACTGGCATCTTTTAAGGCATTGTTTTGCAGTGTCACTAGAATAGAACTTTTTAATGCGTAATGACAGCCCTTTAGACACTGTGTTAATACCGGACCTTTTTTTCAAAGAATAGAATGCCCTGGTGAAACCTAACAATCTTGATTCGCCGAAAGCCATTTTCTAGACATTGAAATACAGACCACCAGGAATGCAATTGAGTTAGCTAACTATTTACCTTGGATACGACTGTCGTCTTTTCATGTTGATGCGATATGTGTAGTTTTATCTGTGTAATGAGCCTATCAGACCACACACTGGTAACCACTGAGCTTTCATCCTGGGGTCTCAAGACAAGAGGCGGTAGAATCGTGCCGGACGCGGAGTGAACTGATAACAGCAGAGATATTCTCTGGTGAAGTTATTCAAGTTACCTGACCTCTAGCTTCCAGTGGTAGGAGATAACAGGTCCAGGGTCACACACACTGAAATCTGCCAAGTTTCTAGCCCGCGACATTTATGTTGTTTTAGATCCTTCCGGTGAATTACACTTTCGTTGAGTTGTTACTGCAGGCAGCGGTCGAACGTACGTATCCTTGCGTCTGTTGTTGTTAATCATATATAAGCAAGCTTTTGTGTGCAATGTTATCATCGGTTTGTTATGGTATTTCATGTTTCAGGTCACTACCAACGTGCATTATTAGCTTCTAAATGTGTTTACTTTTAAGTACTTTCTGCGTGAAGTAAGTTGCACATCGTCCGGCTGTTTTACTTTCTCTTGTATCCTGAGTTTGGAAAAGGAAAAAAAAAAAAGGGGGGGGGGGGGCAATTTGCTGGTACTCGGAATCTCTGAGTGTCTAAAGACATATCTACACCGCTCGTGGGAAAGTGTTTATGACAATAGTGCTGATGGGGAAATGATGTGCACACACATAAAAGTTGTCAGTACTACTGACCACTGCGTACGGCAAGAAGAAGAAAAGAGCAATGTATCCCGTTCCACTCCATGAGAATGACTGGGTTAATTGCGCTAGCTCCGTGTTTAGAAACAGCGGGCCTCGTGTCAAGCCATGATCATACAACCCCTGAGTGCTTTTACATTTGTCCCCTTGTCAGTCAGACGATTTCTTTCTCCTCTAGACAGAAAATCGGTACCTAACAGCTCAGACCCTACCGGTGTATCAGCTCCTGGATGTTGAAGGGTGAGCCTGTAATGTTGCAATAATATCAACTCCAAGTTGTACATATGATGTAGAAGTCTCATTTTTCCTCTCAGAAATGGACAAAGTGAACAGAGCACGCCGGCAGGTGGGAGTATGGCGGACCACAGCCGTCATTCTGGGAATTACTACTTTAGGTCTGGTAGTGGCGGTGGTGTTTCTGGCCACTAGAGAACGAACTCAGCCATCACAGAGCATCCCAACATGTGGTGCCACAGCAAGTGCCAGGAAGAACCCCAACTCAGTGGATTTAAGCGAACCTAGCAGGCCTGGCCCGTTCCATGACCTGACCAAACACGAGATGAGACAACTGAGGACCTTTCTGGAGAAGCACCCGACCATTCACGCCGTTCCAGCTGAATCTGCAACAGTCAACCAGAGTTATATCTACATGATGGATTTGTTTCCGGCCAACAAGTCCGATGTCCTGGCCTACCTGGACGGCGGGAAACCTCAACCGTCGCGTCTGGCTCGAGTGATCATGTATCGAGGCGATCTGGAGCCTCCAGTGGTGGAGGAGTACGCCTGTGGTCCCCTGCCGGATGTCCAAAACTGCGACCTCATTATCTCGGACAAAAGACGCAACCCAATCGAGTTCTCGCTGCGACCCATCGGTCTCTTAGAGTACAAGGCTATCTTCGAGACGGTCCTCACTGAGGTGGACGCTAAGGTCAGCTGGACAGTGTCCTGTAGTTGTAGTTTGTTTACCAGTATCAGCTATGTCTGTGTTGTAGTTTGTTTACCTGTCTCAGTTATGTCTATCTGTGTTGTGTTTTAGTAGTTTGTTTACCTGTATCAGTTATGTCTATCTGTCTTGTGTTTTAGTAGTTTGTTTACCTGTATCAGTTATGTCTATCTGTCTTGTGTTTTAGTAGTTTGTTTACCTGTATCAGTTATGTCTATCTGTCTTGTGTTTTAGTAGTTTGTTTACCTGTATCAGTTATGTCTATCTGTCTTGTGTTTTAGTAGTTTGTTTACCTGTATCAGTTATGTCTATCTGTCTTGTCTTTTAGTAGTTTGTTTACCTGTATCAGTTATGTCTATCTGTCTTGTGTTTTAGTAGTTTGTTTACCTGTATCAGTTATGTCTATCTGTCTTGTGTTTTAGTAGTTTGTTTACCTGTATCAGTTATGTCTATCTGTCTTGTGTTTTAGTAGTTTGTTTACCTGTATCAGTTATGTCTATCTGTCTTGTGTTTTAGTAATTTGTTTTGTATCACCACTCTTTATCTGTTTATTTATAGGACCTTCTGGGAAACTCCCTAGTAATTCCTTATCAAATCCCACAGCCGATTTAGCATGGGGTGAAAAGGCTGAACAGAACAGTATATTCAATCAAAACGTTAGATTTTCCCTCTCCTAAATCAGAACGTTAATTAAGTCTTTGGATCACGCCGTTAAATTACCGTCTCTTAGCCTAAATCAAAAAGTTGAATTTCTGACTTCTAGATCAGAACGTTAGTTAATTCTTTAGATCACACCGTTAAATTACCGTCTCCTAGCTTAGATCAAAACGTTGAATTTCTGACTTCTAGATCAGAACGTTAGTTAATTCTTTAGATCACACCTTTAAATTACCGTCTCCTAGCTTAGATCAAAACGTTGAATTTCTGACTTCTAGATCAGAACGTTAGTTAAGTCTTTAGATCACACCGTTAATTTACCGTCTCTTAGCTTAGATCAAAACGTTGAATTTCTGACTTCTAGATCAGAACGTTAGTTAATTCTTTAGATCACACCTTTAAATTACCGTCTCCTAGCTTAGATCAAAACGTTAAATTACCGTCTCCTAGCTTAGATCACACTGTTAAATTACCGTCTCCTAGCTTAGATCACAACGTTAAATTACCGTCTCCTAGCTTAGATCACACCGTTAAATTACCGTCTCCTAGCTTAGATCACACCGTTAAATTACCGTCTCCTAGCTTAGATCACAACGTTAAATTACCGTCTCCTAGCTTAGATCACAACGTTAAATTACCGTCTCCTAGCTTAAATCAAAACATTAAATTACCGTCTCCTAGCTTAGATCACACCGTTAAATTACCGTCTCCTAGCTTAGATCAAAACGTTAAATTACCGTCTCCTAGTTTAGATCAAAACGTTAAATTACCGTCTCCTAGCTTAGATCAAAACGTTAAATTACCGTCTCCTAGCTTAGATCAAAACGTTAAATTACCGTCTCCTAGCTTAGATCAAAACGTTGAATTTCTGACTTCTAGATCAGAACGTTAGTTGAGCTATTGTCTATCGGCTTAGATCAGTGATTTCCAAACTGTATGCCGTGGCGCCCCGGGAAGTCGCTACCTTTTCACAGGCGCGCCGCGAAATATTGTAAAAGCTTTATATGAGTAGTCATACTTTTACTTAGGTGATGGCGCCGTGAGAAAATTTTTATTGAAAAAAGACGCCGCGACTAAGAAAAGTTTGGGAAACTTTAGCGTAGAGTGTAACATTACTGCCGGAACGTTAAACTATAACCTGTTAGCCTAGAACATTGAATTACCGCGTGTTAGATCAAACGTTAAACTATTGACCGCTAGCTCAAAACGTTAAATTACTGCCTGTTATTTCAGAACATAATACGGTTGAACGATATCCTCTGTATCACCGTGACACTGAGATTGTTCTTACTACTTTTTCCAAGCAGCCAGTGTCGGCACATTGTGGCCAAATTGTTGGTGAGGATTCTGGTGATAATGATAAGGAGGATGTGACTATGTTGAGGATAGTGCTGATGATGATGTTGTCAACCCTTTAGCAGGCCACCTTCGAGGCTCAGTGACTCTCTGAATAAAAAGTCCAAAAACATGCCTTCGCCTATGGTTGCAAGAGAGGCGTATCGACTTTAAGAGATATGGGATATCAAATCTCCTGAATTCAAATCTCCTGAGTTCCAGAATAATAGTAACTTTTTACAACCATAGTATAGACAGAAAACTTGCAACTCTGCACGGAGTATACCTGTCTCCACCTTTCTCAACATGCTCTGTGAGTCAGTTACAATCACAGCGTGTATGTGTAGCTGGTTCTCAAGTCAACGGAAGGCTGCGATGACTGCCTCCACCTCCATTCTCAAACTAGATGTTGTCGTATCATATGCCAGACTCTGCTGCTCTAAGGGTCGTTCGCTTTTGATATGAACCCCCTAGGCACCTTTTCTGCCTCTCAGTTCAGAGCTATCTGTGTGGATTTACATTCACCAATGAGTTGACAAGAAATGTAGCTCATCTCTAGGTGAACTAAAATTGTTAAACAACATCTTCGTTGACTGTGGAATATCGCATACAATAAGCCCCTGGTATTGAAGACTGTGGAATATCGCATACAATAAACCCCTGGTATTGAAGACTGTGGAATATCGCATACAATAAACCCCTGGTATTGAAGACTGTGGAATATCGCATACAATAAGCCCCTGGTATTGAAGACTGTGGAATATCGCATACAATAAACCCCTGGTATTGAAGACTGTGGAAATACTGATCGCTGTTGCATACAACCAGTTCTAACATATGGGTGTTAATCAGGACAGTTGTAAATCTATCAAATAATTCCCCTGAGACTTCAGATAAATCCTTTAAAGCAAATGGGAGCATTCTCAGGGTTTTAAAATAGCTAACTTTGTTTAGCCAGGTTTTGAAGAAGAAAAAAAAAACTTTCACATTAACAATAAGTCTACCGTCTAATGATGCCTTCAGTAAAATCTGCTGTTTCATTACTGTCCACTAGACGCAGAGAAGAAACAATTACTGCTCACTAGACGCAGAGAAGAAACAATTACTGCCCACTAGACGCAGAGAAGAAACAATTACTGCCCACTAGACGCAGAGAAGAAACAATTACTGCCCACCAGACGCAGAGAAGAAACAATTACTGCCCACTAGATGCAGAGAAGAAACAATTACTGCCCACTAGACGCAGAGAAGAAACAATTACTGCCCACTAGACGCAGAGAAGAAACAATTACTGCCCACCAGACGCAGAGAAGAAACAATTACTGCCCACTAGACGCAGAGAAGAAACATTATATTTACTAAAAATTGCCAAATCGTGAGGAACGTTCTGTCTGTCCATGCTGGAGGGATAGATGGCTTTATGGGAAAGTTTGGATGCCAGTTTTGCAATATTCTTTTGCTCACTGAATTACAGTTTATTTAAATGAGAAAAGTTAGCTTCTGCAGCTCTATCAGTATCAGAGACATTTAGCATTTGCCCAGTTATTAAAGGATAAGTAAATGTCTGGTCTGTGTTCTTCTGGTTGATCCAATTAATGCAAATGCATTTTAACAAGTGCACAGAATCATGCAGTAAAAATAATCTGTTATCAGCAAAATCTGGGATCTCGGTAAATGTTTGGCTTGGTTTCAGGAGATCACTGTAAACTCTGCGATTGACGGCACTATTATCAGCAATTACAGCAACTACTGTGAAACCACACTCCTGTACAAGTGTATACAGTGGAGTAATTTTAAACGTAGATCCCGAAATATCATTCTGTTCATAGGTAAAAGTTCTATTACTTCCTGGTTCCTCCCAAAAACTGAAGAAATTAGGAAAGCCTGCACTGTTGTTGCTGCTTTTTTTTTTGTGTGCATTGTCTGCATTGCCAAATAGTTTGCCCCCAGAGTAATTAATTGCAGATGTAACATATATTTCATCTATCTGAACCACTACAATCTTTTCCAGCTCTGTCAGTTTGTCTTGTTTCAATTTCAAATACTGTGAGATGCTTCCAGTATAAGTAGAAAATTACAACTGTGAAGTTAAATTGTGCAGTGTTCTTTGATGAGGCAGGCACAACATACGAGATTTTCTTATAAACCCTGGAGATTTAATGAACAGCATGAAAGCGAAACATAATGTGCTACAACTGTAACGCCTTCTGTTTTTTAACACGGTTAAAAGTTGCAGCTGCTCTGCAAGAAAGTTTACTTGTGTGTCAGTTACTTCCTCAGCTGTCCCATTTGGAGTCCACTGTTGCTCTGCAGCACTCTTCAAAATACGTGCTGCTTCTCCCATTAAATCAGTGAAGCTAGCCGGGCATTGAATTTTACTATAATCCCAGGTATTGTAGTTAATTACAAGATTTTCAATCTGTGAACAAGTTTATTGATGTCTACAATCTATAAAAGGTTTTATTTTGAACACAAACTTTTGTAGTCATATCAAGCACCATCTTTATACCTACACCTATGGACGGTGCAGACTCCGACTGTATGGAAATGACACACAAAATGTACATGATAAAGCTCCATCTACAGAAGTGATTTTCAATTTTTTTTTTTAAACTGTCGTTTTAGTTTGTTTCCTATCTGTGATTCCAGATATTGGAAATCTGTAATGATATCTGAGAACAGCCGTTGATTTATTATTTAACCATTAATACTATTAATATGTGATAGACGTTCCTCTGGAGTCTTGCGAGAGGCTGGTACTTTTACCGATAAATAGGATGGAAGATCTAAAATGACAGTTGGATGAGCATTTTTTTTTTTTTTTTGCACTGGATTCTTTCTTGAGAGTACATGCTCAACCCCAGATTTGTGCGTGTATTTGTCAGTAATATCAGACGAACGAAAATGTTTGACATATACAACAGTGGTTTTCCCAGGAATCCATTTTTTATGTGGAATTTTTTTAGCCATTTTTCTTTAAAAAGAGAATCCGA